ATCATTCATCTTTATGTGAAAACTTATATATTTATAACGTTTTCAAATTTATTTAATATTAAATATTAAAATGGAACACCTGCTTAATATAAATTATGTGCAAGTCATTAATAATTTGGAAATAGTTGAAGATAATGGCCATTCAACAATTNAGTTGAAGATAATGGCCATTCAACAATGAAATTTCGTTTAGCGGAGGATCCGTTCATTGGTATGTTACAAAACAAATTACAATATGTAAAATTATCTATTTACATTATTAAATGTTATTTTCTGTAGTTTTGTCTGAAAGGGCTTTTATACAAAAATTTAGACTGACAAAAGTTCTTGTACTAAATTTAATTAATGAGCTACGCCCATATTTAGAACCCCCATCGAGGAAGTCTGCTCTAAGTATAGAGCGCAAAGTATGCAAAATATTGTACAATATTGACTAAACAATAAGTAAAATTTAATAAAATTTTTGCCACGATAGGTACTAACAGCTTTACGATTTTTCGCTAGTGGATCTTACCAACAAGACATAGGGGAAAATCGAGCTTCCTCTGTTAGTCAACCTTCAGTTAGCAAATGCATAACTGAAGTATGTAATGCATTTAATATGCCTACTATTTTTAACAAATACGTGAAATTTCCGTCAACTTTAAACGAATTAAATCACTTAAGACAAGAGTAAGTATTTTAATACTATAAATTCTGCCTTGTGACTATTAATTAACACGTCTATAACGATATTATAACCTAAAAAGATTTACTAATGAATATGGAATACCGGGAGTTATTGGTATTGTCGATTGCACTCATGTTGCAATAGTGCCCCCACAAACAAATGGACCTTGTCCGGAACACATTTACGTGAACAGGAAGAATTATCATTCAATAAATGTGCAATTAGTAAAATAATTCGATATTTTTTAAAACAACTATCCTATTTCTTAAATGTACTTTAATAATTCCTAGATATGCGATTCAAATATGGGAATACTTAATGTAAATGCAAAATACCCTGGCAGCACTCATGATAGTTATATATGGCGTCGGAGTAATGTGTCTTCAGTAATGGAAAAAATGCATGACGAAGGAATGCGTTCCTATTATTTACTAGGTTTTAATTGTAATACATCAATATTAACATAAGAACAATCAAATCGAATTTTTTATAAGAGCTAAATGAATTTTTCCCCATCGTTCCTTATTCATATTCTAAGTTCATATAATTTATATACTAGGTTTTTATTTAATAATAATCTGTAGGAGATTCTGGTTATGCATTGAAACCATGGCTATTAACACCTTTACATAATCCAGACCCATCTACTCCAGAAGGGCGTTACAATGAATGGATCTGTAAAACAAGATCATTAATTGAACGTACCAATGGATTATTAAAAATGCGATTTCGGTAAGTCTTAAATTAACTTAGTAACCCTGTAAATGGTTTGCATTAACTTATATTATGTATTAAATATAGGTGTCTTTTAAAGCATAGGGTACTTCATTATCACCCCATAAAAGCTTCAAAAATAATTAATGCATGTGTTGTACTTCATAATATATGCATTAAAAATAATGTACCAGAACCAGTACATGAGGTAACAAATGAGGTTGATTTAGGTATGTACCCTACCGAAGAAAATAATTTAAATGTTCAACAAGTGAATCACACTTTAATGGCCGGCCGAAGGATGCAACGTCAAATAATTGAAAATTATTTTACATAATAACAAACTAAATTTATTACATGCATACCTATTTGACTTTTTAAATTTATATTTGTATGAATTTATATTCATATAAATTTACTACCTAAAACAAGGAAACAAATGAAATATTATGTACATCAATAAAAAGGAAGCATTAAAAGGATTTTTAAATGGATATTTATTCATCTTGTTTGGATAAGAAATTTTTTATATTTTCAGCTATAGCTTCAGTAGCCTCCACCTCTCTCAATTTAAGTTTTAATTTTTCCTTATAATATAAGGCTTTCAATTCTAGCATGTCTGCAGTAATATTAGTTAAATTCTCTGTAGCGCGGACAGAGTTTGTTAACTTTTCTTTCTTAACCATTGATCTAAAAAAATAATAAGGAACTTAATGTAAATAAAAATATCAATATATGAGGTACCTGGAGCTCAAGGGGTATAAATAACATTTTGTAAATTAAATAAAGTAATAGTTAAACTATATAATATATGGCATTTATTTTATAAAGCAACTACATTATAAAGATAGCATTTATCAATTTTTAAACTCAATAATCTCTGAATTAATTTTTTGCATTATTGACCCTATAAGTTCCAAGTACCTCACATAACTTATACAAATTAAAATCAAGTAAACATACACTATTAAACAAAGCAAATTATTTTGTAATAAGTAAGCAAATGAAGATTGTTTTTAATTAAAATATTTAAGCTATTTTTTTTTATTTTTGGATTTACAAGGAAATAAATGAATAGACTAGGAAAATGAGAGTTGTTAATGTAAAGTTTTATATAACCTAAAAAATTTGCAAATATGCAAGGCAAGCAATGATTTTTAAAGTTGGGTTTTAAATGACAATAAATATAAATAACAGACGTTAAGATAAAATAGAAGGGAAAGGAATACATAAGCAAAAACCACCAAAAAAAAAAGTAGTCAAAAGTAAATGGATAAAGGTTTGATGCAAGAAGCAATATATAACAAATTTATACTCCCTTAATATTTGACTCCGTAATTTGGCAAATTGAGAAATTTACCATATTTGACCTAAAACTTATTAAATTTCTAATCACTATATAATTAAAAAAATGTTATTATATAAATAAAAAATAAAGTATAAAATACAAGAATTTTAAAAAGTACTTACTTATTATATGTTTTTTGATAGTTGGCAATATCTTTAACAACATCAGCATGCCTTTTATTATTATTTCTAATATAAGTATCAAACGGATCAAGCTCACTAAATAAATATTTCAAATTAGAAAAAATAGTATCTTATTTAAGCTGAATAATTGATATATTTACAGTTCTTTTTCAGCCATATTTAGTTTATCACAATTTTCAAAATTAATATTGTTATCTTTAAACTCTAAATTACTGTTCTCTTGTACACATATTTCAACTGGATTAGCCTCAATAGAAATTAAATTATGAGTTGAAGTTTCCTCTAAAGTTTGCACAGGATCAACATCATTAGTAACGAAAGAAACCATACAGGTACTTTCATTGACTAAATCATGACCATGTACAGCAGTAGGACCTATAATATCTAATAATTGTTCATCAGCCTGATCAATATATTCATCATCATCTCTTTCTCCCCCGCCAGTTTTTTTAAAACTTGATTTTGATGGTACTTTTTGTTTAGCAGCTGATTTTAAATATTGAAAACACTAAATATAATAAAACATAACATTTTTTTTTTAATGTTTGGTACTTTAGATACAATTATTAATTATGTAATTACCTTTCTCCATTCCACCCATGTCTTCTTTGGGCCAACAGTTTCATTTAAATTTTTAGTAATATTTTGCCATAATAATTGGGCATCTTTCATGGTAAAAGATGGTCCAAATTTTTTAGAGTTTAATTTAGGGTGCTTATGAACAAAATCAATTAATAATTGTTTTTGTTCATAAGTCACACTTTTTGACTTTTTTTTTCCCTCCATTGTTAAAAATACACTACACAAATCGAAATAAAAAATACTGAAAAAAACTCAAGACAAATTTCTTATTTGTAAATTTTGTAGTTATCATAAATATTATCAAGTATTAATTATAAAACTAATATAAAATACAGTACAGCCAATATAATTTAACATATCGCACTAATAATTATTGGTTTGAAATGACATTAGATTAGACGATGTACGATTAGCGCAAGATTTTTAGACTGATAAAAAATAAAATTCAAAAATACGAATTTCCATTAGTGCACTAAAATCATAATCTAATGTTTTAGTGTACTAAAACATTCGCCAATGATTAGTCCAAGCTCAAAAATAGACCCCCTGGTTTAGAAGGTGAACGGTTTTGTTCAGCACTACCGTTTAACCTAGAGATTAGTTTTTTGGATTATTGGAACAATCACGTGCTGTATGACCCATAAGATCACACAATTGACATTTTGTATTATTAGGATTGAAAAAACAATTTATTGAATTATGGTTGCTTTTAGTACAAAAATTACACTTAGAAGTATTTGAATTATAATTGCTATTTTGAAAGTTATTATTATTACTTTGAATGTTATCCCTTTGATCAAACTGAGATGAAAATCTTTGTTGAGAATTGTTTTTAAATTGTGATGAATTGCGAATAGTGTTTCTGAAATTATTATTATTATTAGGCGAATTATTGTTGCGGTTGTAATTATTATATGCATATTGCTTCTGAAATTGGTTATCTAATAAAAAGTTGGTTTTAGAATTATTATTTTGGAATTGTTTATTACTGTAGCGCGGAGAGTTGTTGTCAAATTTATTACTATTTTGAAATTGATTTTTAATACGTGAATTGTAATTGTTACTTTGAGATTGATTATTATTTTGAAATTGCCTGTTATTAGGTATAAGATTAATATGTTCATTAAAAAATTGTTCTTTGAAATTTTTAAATTCTTCAATTAAATTTTTTAAGTCATCATTTTCATTATTTTGAGTAATTTGATTAATTTTTTCATTTATAATGGATTGCTTTATTTCTGATGGACTCTTAGCTGTCTCTCCAGTAATCATAAATTCAACCACCTCATACTTTTGAATGTTTCTTTTTAACTCGTCTAAATTATTATTATCTAAAATACTGATGTATCTCAGAATGCTTGGCTTGAGACCTTTCATCACATTCCTTACTATTTCACTCGCTGACATATTAGTATCTATTCTCTTACACAAAGCCTCCATGTCATTAATGTAAGCAACTGTCCGTTCATCGTCTAACTGTTTTCTTTTCTCTAGTAAAATACGCAACATATCATTTTGGGCAATGGGTTCAAATTCATCTCTAAATTTTTTCTCTAATTCATTCCATGGTAAATTTAGAGACTCAATATTGTCATAAAAAGTTAGTGCTGGGCCTTGTAAAAATGCAACTAGATAGTGTGGTTTGTCATTATCTGACCAATTATTGATAGACGCGGCTCTATTAAAAGTTTTTAAGAATGAATCTACGCGTTCATTAATTCCGCCGGAAAAGATAGTTGGTTTGAAAAATAAATTTTTGTTCATATTAAAATTATTAATTACTTTTGGTGAATTTGAATCCTGATTAGAAATATTTTTGACGGTAGCTTGCGTTGAGTTTTTAGGTAAAAAATGCCAAAATAATCTTATTTTTAATTCTGGTACAGTACCTGTTGTGGGTAATTTTCTATTCTCAAGTTCTTTAATAAGCTCAGATTTTTTTAGACGATTAATCCACTCTAATGTTTTTTTATGTTCTTCTGGGATGCCTTGTATTTCAATCACTTCAATTTCCTCTGTCATAATTTTCAATGTTCACTTTCTCAAAAGAATTTTACTTTATTCACTTATACTCTCTCTTTGCATTAAAATTCATGAATGACTGATTTTAATTTATACGAAAAGTTTTTAGTAATAAATTCAATTTTTATGGGCAAAAGTATGCGCAAAAAAATTTTT